AAGGTTGATGGATCGAATGTTCAAATCACAAATCGGGCGAAATATGGAAGTTTACGTGGACGACATCTTGGTGAAAAGTAGGTCCTCGATCTCGCATGTGGAGGACTTAAGAGAAGCGTTTAAGATACTAAGAACATTTGGGATGAAACTGAATCCGAGTAAATGTGCCTTCGGAGTGAAAGCAGGACGATTCATGGGCTATATCGTAACGGAAAGAGGCATTGAGGTGAATAAGGACAAAGTGCAAGCCATACTCGACATGACCCCGCCAAAGAATATTAGAGAAGTACAAGTCCTGACAGGCCGAATTGCAGGCCTCAGCCGATTCATAGCCCGGGCGACGGAAAGGAGCTTCCCTTTCTTCAAGTTACTCAAGAAAAAAGCCTTCCAGTGGGGTGACGAGGCTCAGATGGCATTCGAAAAACTAAAGGAGTTTTTGAGCGAGCTACCATTGTTGACAAAGCCAGAGTCGGGCGACGAGTTGGTACTCTATATCTCGGTGGGAATCTTTTCTTTGAGTTCTGTGTTGCTGCGAGAAGCTGAAGGGGCTCAACAGCCGATCTATTATACAAGTCGAGTACTCCAGGGCGCAGAAACAAGGTATTCTGAGGTCGAGAAGGCCGCACTAACGTTGGTGCTCACAGCCAGAAAATTGAGGCCGTATTTCCTGAACCATGTGATAATAGTAAGGACAAATTTCCAGCTCGGTGAGACATTGGGTCGACCTACCGTGTCAGGTCGACTCGTAAAATGGGCGGTCGAACTCAGCGAATTTTCCATCAAATATGAACCTCGACGGGCTATAAAGGCCCAAGCTCTAGCCGACTTTATCCAAGAAGGGACCAAAGGAGAAAGCAAGAAATGGATGATGCACGTCGACGGGTCCTCGTCAGCCAGGGGATCTGGTATTGGAGTCGTCCTAGTATCCCCCGAAGGTGAGCAACTTGACTTCGCCATCAGAATGGGATTTAAAGCCTCGAATAACGAAGCAGAATATGAAGCCTTGATCAAGGGGATTCAACTGGCGATCGGAGGTGGGGCAACGGAGATCGTGGCACATTCCGACTCACAGCTTGTCGTGGGGCAAGTGTTGGGAAACTGCGAAATTAAGGAGGATCGAATGTTGAAATATGTCGAAGAAATCCAGAGTTTGGTACAAAATTTGGCAGAACTAACACAAGTACCTCGAGAGGAAAACAAGCGAGCTGATTGGCTCACGAGGATGGCAAGTTCAAATGAAGGAAAGATGGGAAATCAAATCACCACCCTGCATTTGGAGGGGAGCGCCCTAAAGAAAACAATGGAGGTCGAGGAGAAGCAAGATTGGAGAAAATCAATTCGCGAACTGTTACAAGGTCGAGTACAGGAAGGAGACAAACAGGAGGTAGAGAAAACAGCCCGATATTTGAGTAAATACTTTGAAATCGAAGGGATCTTGTATGAGAAATCAGTGATTGGGCCCCACCTGAGATGTGTTTCTGAAGAAGAAGGGGATCATGTCTTGAGAGAGATCCACGAAGGATGTTGCGGGTCGCATGTAGGATCGCGAGCTCTAGCGGGAAAAGCTCTTCGAGCGGGCTATTACTGGCCTAGAATACGGAAAGCGGCCGAACAGCTGGTACAAGGATGTGATCTATGTCAGCGCCATGGTCAGATTCCCCATATCCCAGCCGAGGCAATGACGACTATCAACTGTCCAATCCCCTTCGCCCAATGGGGAATCGACTTGGTAGGACCACTGCCGATGGGAACAGGTCAAAGGAAGTTCATGGTAGTCGCTGTCGACTACTTCAGCAAATGGGTAGAGGCGGAACCTCTGGCCAAGATTACCGAGGACAAAATGATACAATTCTTGTTCAAAAATATCTGCTGTCGATTTGGGATACCAAAGGTCTTAATTTCAGATAACGGAACACAATTCCAGGGAAAGCGGATCCAAACATGGTGCCTCGACATGGGGATTAAGCAGCGGTTCGCTTCCGTCGCGCACCCGCAAGCAAACGGACAAGTCGAAGTGACAAATAGAACCATCCTACAGGGATTAAAGAAGAGACTGGAGAAAGCATCTGGCGCTTGGGTCGATGAGCTACCAAGCGTCTTATGGGCCTATAGGACGACCCCGAGGAGTTCGACAGGGCAATCACCTTTTCATATGGTGTATGGGATGGATGCTTTATTGCCTATCGAGGTTGGTTTAGATTCGCACAGGTCAATGTTCTATGAAGAAAAAAGCAACGATAAGTTAAGGGAAGAAGCCCTCGACATGATAGAGGAAATACGCGAGGAGGCTTGGTTACGATCTGTGGAGTATAAACAAAAGATGCGTGCAGCCTTTGATAAGAAAGTGCGAACCAGGCGATTTCAAGTAGGAGACCTCGTACTAAAGAGGGCCGATGCCCTGAAGCATGTCGGGAAGCTAGAAGCAAACTGGGAAGGGCCATACACAGTCACCAAGGTGCTCGAGAGAGGCGCATATGAACTTGAAGATATAGAAGGACGACAGCTGCCGCGATCTTGGCATGTTACCCATCTCAAACGTTTTTATGCTTAAGTAATGTTTTCGAATTTGCTTTTTGTACTGAACCACGATCAAATCATATTCAGTAATGAAATGGATTTTGAATGTACTCTTCGAAGATGTCTATATATTTATTTGTTATCTTACATAATTGTTGGATAAACTGAACTTTTCGAAACGACTATATAGCCGACTAATCATGACGACTATAAAAGTCGACTCAAGCAACAAAAGTTGCATGCCTCGAGCGAAATCTCGGCAAGGCTAAAAAGCCCAACTATAAAAGTCGACTCAAGCAACAAAAGTTGCATGCCTCGAGCGAAATCTCGGCAAGGCTAAAAAGCCCGACTATAAAAGTCGACTCAAGCAACAAAAGTTGCATGCCTCGAGTGAAATCTCGGCAAGGCTAAAAAGCCCGACTATAAAAGTCGACTCAAGCAACAAAAGTTGCATGCCTCGAGCGAAATCTCGGCAGGGCTAAAAAGCCCGACTATAAAAGTCGACTGAAGCAACAAAGGTTGCGTGCCTCGAGTGAAATCTCGGCGAAGCTATAAAAGCCCGCGACTGACAGAGCTCAAACAACAAGTTATCTCATATAACCCGTCTAAAACTGCAAAAGCACTAACTACAAAATGTGTGAGCAAAAGAAATGTCGATAAATCTACAATCGCGTAGTTGCAAGTAAAAACTCGAAGAATGCATGAACAACAATGCCGCAGGAGCGTAACGACTTAAGTCAAAGATAAAACAGGGAGTAATATTTAAAAAAAAAAAAGAGATTCATTACAAGAGTCGTCTCAACCTTTACAAGTTGGAAAATTAGGTTGATCAGAGCAAAAATAAAACGACAAATTGAAGGCAACAAGCCTCGAAAATACAACTAAGTTATGACATCTTCATCGCTCTCCTCGAGAATGGTCACGACCTGATCACCATCATTCGGCCCGACAGGATGGACGGGAGAAGGCAGGGGAGCATCAAGTTGATAAGTGAGCTTAGCCTCTCGAACAACCTTCGCCTCAAGACCCGTCCACCAGGGGTAGTCGTCCGGAAGGGACGGATCGCCCTCATAACCGTCAGGGTCAGGAAGTGTACGCTTCAGGGCCTCCCGGTCGAGTTTCCCAGCAAACTCAGATCCCGCCACCACAGCCTCCCAAGCGTCGAAGGCATAGTCGAAATATTGAACGGCGGCGGGGCAGAGCTTGTCGAGGAACTCAGGAGAATTGCAGAAAGCCTTGACGACTTCCTTACGATACTTGCGGACAAAGGCAGCGCCTATGCCAGTCCTCAAAAAGGACTTCCGGCCCTCAACGATGCCGATGTCCACTACGTACATGTTCGCCTCCTGAGCCTTCTCGAGGTCGGCCTGAAGCTTCTCTTTTTCGTGTAGGGCAACGGCCTTGTCGGCTCTCAACTTATCGACCAGGGTCTTTGAATCCTCCAGCTCTTTCTTTAGCTGCGCAATCTCCCTGAGCTGCGCCGCACACTTCTCCTCGAGGGCCTGACTGGAGGAAGTGGGGGGTCGAGTGCCGGCCTTGAGGCCGGGGAGAGCAGCCGCCAAAAACTACACAAAGAAACAAATAATGAAAGGCAGAAAGAAATACGCAAGACGTAAACACTTAAGAACAAAGCACATACCCGAACCAGACATTGAGTAGCGTAGCAAGAACGCTCGTACTCGTTCCCCTCGACGCGAGCCTTATTGGCCTCGGGGAGCACGGAGTGAAGATATTCTGCCACCTTATACGGCTCCGGATGATTCCAGAGTCGGGACGGCATCTTGACCAACGCATCCTTGTAGGTAACGGACGATTCTGTCCGCTTGGGGACAGCGTTCCCCTCGTCCACCTTCTCCTTACCCTTGTCGACCTTACGACGCTTAGGGTCGCCAAGGAGCAAGGGAGGCGCGCGATCATCCTGAGGCCTCTTGCGGGCACTCGGACTCGAGGACTTGCGTTTTCGAGCCGTGGCAGCCGATTGCGCACCAGACCTGCCGGGTGGAACAGGAGCAGTGGGCGGTTTCTTCACCTCGAAACGCTTGAGTGTATTAACTGAAAAATAATAATAAAAGCAAGGTTAGAAGAAAGTAAGAGACGACTCGGTATTGTAAGAAATGCTGAACAGCTTACGAGGATCATCGAGCTGAGGAAGATCGTCATACAAGACGATTCGGGCATGATTGACCAACTCACGGTCTCTTATTATGCGTCGAGCGCTATAAGTACATTTATTCAACTCTACTAAGAGTCTTTCGAAGTCCTCGGATCGAGACCGTTTATTCTGTTTAACTTTGGTACTTATCCAGTTATTTGTATATGGATAAACACCGACGGGAGGTCGAATGAAGACAAATTTCGACTTCCACTCGGGGACATTTGACGAAAGATCATCAAGAAAGGTAACGCCAGGGCGACGAATTAAACAATGGGCCCCCTTTTGAAGTCGATAGCTATAACAATAATGAAAAAATTCGGCCGAGAAAAAACGAAGAACTATACGAGACACAACGATGAAAGCTATCATGATACAAAGAGCATTTGGAGAAAACTGATTTATTGGGATTCTATACAAGTCACTTATCTCCAAAAACTCGGCTTGTATAGGGAAGCGTAGACCGAAAACAACTTGGTCGACAAAGAAAGTGTGACAACCCTCGGGAGGACAGGCGAAGTTACTATCGGGACCCGGAGTAACCACCTCCCAATCGGAGGGAAGCCCGCTGAACTGCCGAAAGCTCTCGACTTGACCCGCAGATTCATAGGAAAAAGGGTTCAAGGTTGCCAATTCGGCCAAGGTACAGGCTACTGAAACAGACTTCCGAGGGTCGAGAGGAGTAACTAAAGATACAGGTACAGGACTGGTACTATACACGGGAATATCTAACAAACTAATAGGAATACCTCGAGGAATTAAGTCGAGGCGAGGAGAGCCTTCCCCAGGACTCCTCACTATTTCTACAAGACCACCATCCAACAGGGCCTGATCATATTCGGCCCAGTCGACTCTTGGGGTCGAAGTACACGATGAAGGGGGCGAAACGTTAACCATCCTACAGCCGGTAATCTCGACTGAGCTTGAGTCAGCTTGGTCAAGGCCCCTGTCGATCAGTCTGTCGAGGGTGTCGGGCGAAGAATCGGAGTTGGAAGCTAAAAGGAAAAGAAACAAAAAGCAAAGATCAGACATGGCGAAACAAAATCAAGCAAAGCACAATCGACTCACTTAAGTCGACAGAGATACAAAAGGGGAAAGTGGTACGGTGTATTTCAGTAGAAATACGAAGGCAAGACGACAGAAAGTCGACTCAGGAAAAGTACAAAA